CTGGGAAAGGGCTTAGAACACAAGTCGTATGAGGAGAGGCTGAGGGATCTGGGGCTGTTTAGCCTGGAGAAGAGGAGACTGAGGGGAGCTCTCATCGCTCTCTGCAACTACCTGAAGGGAGGTTGTAGAGAGGCGGGAGTTGGTCTGTTCTCCCTGGTGGAGAGTGACAGGACAAGGAGAAATGGATTTAAATTGCACCAGGGCAGGTTCAGGTTGGATATTAGGAAGAATTTCTTTACTGAAAGGGCTGTCAGCCATTGGAACAGGCTGCCCAGGGAGCAGGTTGAGTCACTGTCCCTGGAGGTGTTTAAGAGACAACTGGATGTTGCACTGGGGGACATAGTTTAGTGGGTTGATAGGGCTGGGACAAAGGCTGGTCTTGATGATCTTCATGGTCTCTTCCAGCTGAAACTATTCTATGAATCTATGATTCTATGCATGGTCTCCCCTTTCGTGTGTCCTCATGGGCAAAACCTCTGCCACGTGGTGTACTCCCTTGCCTAAATTCTTCTGAGACCGGTGGCAGCTCAAAACTGCCTCAAGACTTAACTGAGGCTGCACCTCTGATTTTTTACTCTGGCAACGCACTGTCCTGCACATCGCAGCCACTTCCCAAGCAACCCCAGAGGCTGTTCCCAGCCAAGCCACTGCTGCCTGGAAATCCAGGACGAAGGACGCCAGCGGCATCTCAACGCCTTCTCTCCAGCAGCAGCCTGAACACCCATCTTAATCATCTAAGCACTCGTTTCAGGCCCAAAGAGCAGTCATCCAGACCCAACCTGTGGGATTAGGTGACTACAAAGGTTAGATGAAAGGATGAAGGGCTGGGGGAGGAGGTGGGATCAGGAGGCAATATTGAGCTGCAACACCACTGCGGGGGTGGCTCCGATGAGCTGGGTTGAGAGACGCGTTTGGATTGGGTCTGAGCACCATTAACCTTAATTCTGGACTGAGTAAAGCCTTAGCGCGCGGCTGTGGTCACCAGATATTTATCTTCCTCTTTGGGTGTGTCTGCGCCGCAACCTGGAGGTGTGATTGCACCCCGTGCAAGACGAGATGGGATCTGGCGAGCGCGGGTGCTGGTGCCAGGATGAGTCGGGGCTGGGAGGCTGCAGAGCCGGCTGTGCCGAACCTGCCATCCACCAGCACCACATCTCCACGTTGGCATCGTCTCAGCATTCTGTCATTTAGTCCCAATATCTCAGTGACCTCTCTGGTCCTCAGGCAGACACCTCCTGCTTTGACCAGGAGGGCTGTGTTAAAGCAATTTAACTTAATTAATGCTAGATTGATTTGACTAGATTGCTTAAAGTCAGTGCTAGGGGCTGAGGTGTCTTCAGGTGGGAAAGGCAAAGGGTGATTTAGCTCCTCGCCCTTCGAGGTTATCAGGTGCCTGACGCACTGCACGTGGTGCCTGAGCTGGGTGGTGGGTCCTGTGGCTCCTGAGATGTCCTGGCACTCGGGTGCAAGCTAAACCGTGACTTCCCCAAGCACCCCACCCCAGGAACCAGCACCTCGTCCCTTCCGCTCGCGAGTGGCACGAGCCAGTCCTTGCTCAGGAGTGACCAAATCCTGCTGGGTGCTGAGCACTTCTCCGCAAGCCTTTTGGGAGAGTCTGAGCTCTTTTAAAGTGAGCATCTCCTATGGATGTTCCCTATTTAAGAGAGGTTACCTCAAATCTAAGGGCTGGCTGGATCGTGGATGGGCATGGCTTGGCCAGAGCTTTGAGGTGCGACGGTTTGAGCAGTGTGGGTGGTGGAGCTGTGGTAGGAGGAGGCTGGACTCGGTATCCATTTCATTGTGGTCACTCTTTGGGGAGGAGGTTGAATAGAAGGGGCAGGAGGGGAGAGGGTGGTGGTGGGGAATGGCTGATACTGGCAGGAGAACGCGCTGCTGTGGTTGCACCAGGCTTTTGTGGTGCAGTGACATAACACCAACCCGTTGCCGGTCTGAAGAGAAACCCAACCCGTGGGTTGGGTACACATCTACGCTGCTTTTGGGCTCAATGCCCAACGGCTCCAACATTTGCAGATGTTTGGGATGCAGTTTGGCAAGAAGAGGAGGCTGATGTGGAAAAGGAGATGTTGGTGCCTGCTCAACCACCCTGGTTCTCCCGCAGGTCATCGTCCAGCGGTCACTCTCGGCTAAGAACCTGAGTCACGCCAAGGCCGGCTCCATCTTGGCCAGCTACCTGAAGATGCTGCCCTTGTTTGTCATCATCATGCCAGGGATGATCAGCAGGGTCCTGTACCCAGGTAAAGTCCCTGTCACACCGATGCAGAGCTGGTGGGATGGGTGTTTTACCTGTTGCTAAGTGATGAATGGGAGGAGAGGCTTGTTTGGAAAACTCTGCACTGACCCGACCTGGGGGATCTGCATGAGGGAGAGGGACCGGAGATGACCTGAGTGTCCCTTTGTGCCTGCCGTGCGTCGGCCAGCGCCGCTGCGCTCTACAAACCGTGCAGCCGGGTGTGAAGAGAGTTGTGTGTGTTTAGGCAAAGTGATGCTCTGGAGGTGACTTGGCTGCTGTGTTCTCAGTCTGATGGAAAAACGATGTTTGCCCCAAGTGGGTCTCCACCTGTGTTTTGGGCTATGGGTCAGTGTGGAAGAAGAGTGGACCCAGAATAAACAATGGTTGGTGGGGGTTGATGGTGATTCCTGTTGGATTTTAGAGTTAATCAAGGATTGCTATGGTTTATTATTTTTATATGTGGGAGAAACTATTCCTTATGGGTTGCCCAGGGAGGTGATAGATGCCCTGTCCCTGGAAGCATTCAAGGTCAGGTTGGATGGGGCTCTGAGCAACCTGATTGAGTTGAAGATGTCCCTGATCGCTGCTGAGGGGGTTGGACTAGATGGCCTTTAAAGGTTCCTTCCACCCCCAAACATCTTGTGATTCTCTGCACATTTCCATCAGCTGAGCCCTGGCTTTCCTAAGCCCGTCGGCGTGTTAATTATCTGCCTTTCATCAAAGGGCCAGAACAAGTTATTACAGGAACACCAACATACCCGGCAAGGTGGCGTTCGGGACCTGGGTCACAGAGCGTCAAAGGGCTTCTCTCCCTGCATGGCTCTGCAGGGCACGTGGGGATGTTTGACATGGGAGGATTAAAACCCCACTCTGAGCTCCGTGTCGCTGGCTGGGAAGGGAGAGAAGCAAGTGGAGCCCAGGCTAGTAAGTTTAATTCCCCGTAAACACAGATTAGATGCTCTGCTGGGGTAACCTCAAGTGGCTTCAGTGATTTCAGCTTCTGATTTCACCCCGGGGTGGGGGTTTGAATGCCCCGAAAACAGCGAGGTTGGGAGCCTCAAGAACAAGAGGCTGCAGCATTTGGGTGCAAATAGGGGGTTGACCCTGTGGTCACCCTGCCTGGATGGGGTGATACTCCCGTTGTGGCGGGGAAGCTGGCGCATATCCCCGTGATCCCTACGACTACCTTAAAGTAGGTTGTAGAGAGGTGGGGATTGGTCTATTCCACGAGATAACAAGTGACAGGGCAAGAGGAAATGTCCTCGAGTTGCACCAAGGGAGGTTTAGATTGGATATTAGGAAGAATTTCTTCATGGAAAGAGTTATCAGGCATTGGAATGGGTTGCTCAGGGTGGTGGTGGAGTCCTTACTCCCAGAGGTATTTAAGCATCGTGTGGACACAGTGCTTAGGGATATGGTTCGCTCGAGGACTTGTCAGTGTTGGGTTAATGGTTGGACTCCATGATCTCAACGACCTTTCCCAACCTGAGGTATTCTGTGATTCTGGGGTGACAAGGTCTGGCCATCGCTGGTGGATCAAGCCGCGAAGCTGCTTGACTGCGACGCTTGCCCGCAGATGTTGCCCTCCCTGTTTCTCGGCTGCCTTTGCTCTGCCTAATTAGGTGCCCGAGACCTTTTGCTTTGATGCTAATTACCTCTGCCGAGGAGCTAGAAAACAAGCCTGAGAAGGACACGCCTGCCCGCGCAGTCTGTCCGTGGTTGGGCATGATGCCACTGCTGATGGGCTGTGGG